GTATAACATTCCATAAACATCTTTTACATTGTAACCATGCAGACTTATCAAGCAACATACTCTGTACCACTTAAGCAGAGCTCTAATAATAACCGCATCGGGTGGATATTAGCTCCAACAGTAATTCTAATAATGAAACTAGCAAAATTCAATGTTCTTGCATAGATGAATTCCTAAGAGCATATTCATTTTTTAAATAAACAATAATTTAAGCAACAAAACGGCATTTTAAGACTGGTTTGTGGTAAATAGTGAGAACTCAAATTAATGCAAGGATATATTATAGCATTTCAATTCTCACCCGATCGATGCCCTCGGGAAGGGGATCAACAACTGAGGTAGGGATCTCTTCCATGAGGTTATCTGGGCGACCCGAGTGCAAAACGCGGGTAAAACCTCCCATATCTGACCCAGATAAGTCCTTCACCTTCTTGTACCAATAGTACATGATCCGGCATTGCCACTTGCTGTACGGAGCATCAGTGGCCGTGAGAGCAACGTGGAACTTGGGGTTACCACCGCGGCGTAGAGTGGAAGACAAGTCTCCGCCGTGGCCGCTGGAGGCGGATGGTCGTTGGTGGATGAGGAGTGTCACTAAATTGTAAGTGGCGAAGAAGAAGCCCAAGGAAATGAGCACCAACAGAAATGGCGAAACTGCTCGACCGCCGGCGTTCTTCCTCCCTCCTCCGCCAATCATTCTCTTTCTCACTGTTTCAGCTGAGATCTGTTGATTTCGCAGACAGAACCAGAGAGAGTTCCTTTGCCCTTCCGCGAAATCGAGCACTAGAAAGCCTTTTCTTCAACCAACTTATAGACTTTTAGCTCATTTTCTACTTCATCTTTCTCCATTCTATTTTAAGTATTTTACACGACCGACTTTACTTATATGGAAATATAACTAATTTAATAAATTGCCCTGGAATAGATGAGGTTTGAAAAAAAAGGGATGACACCTCATCCTATTTTGAAATTTCAAAATAGGATTTTTTTTTAAAATAGGAATTGTTATTGCTATATATGAAAAATTTTGTCATGATTGAAAAATACTGCCATTAATTATAATAAACACTGTCATTAATTATAATAAATACTGCCATGATCGAAAAATACTACAATTAATTATAATAAATACTGCAACTATTTGGCAGTCACACCTACTCGATGACAGTAAATATGGTCATGTTAGTCCTATTTCGGAAATAAAAACATAGTAATCCTACGTTGTAATTCCAAACTTCATTTATTCTTATTTTGGGAAATCTGACATTTTCTTTCATAGGTTTTATTTAAATAATGTAATGTTAATAACTTTCTGAGTACAAAGTACAGAGTATATGATTAGGAATTTTACCACAATAAGTTCACACATAATAAGATATCTAAAGATAAAATGTGTCGATATAAGACTCGGATGATCATAACTATTAATCTAAGATCTAAACTTCATGAATTTTAATTTATACTTCGTATTATTTTTTTAAAAAATAAATATTATATAATCTTATTAAACTAATAAAATTTTGTAAATACACAATCATCACAATTTAGCAACAAAATTAGAAGAAATTAAATAAATCAAAATCTATAATATGTTAGGTAATCATTCAAGCCCTATATCGACACATTTTATTTTTTAGGCCTCTTATCGATAAGGAACCTACTCCCTCCGTTTCACCATCTTTGACACACTTTCATTTTTTGGCAGTTTCACAATCAATGACACACTTCCTTATTTCCTTATTTGGTACACAAATCTTTACCAAAACAGTGCAAAACAGTGTCAATTAGTGCCAAACAGTGTTCAAACATTGCCAAACAGTGTACTCTACAGTAAAATTTACCCCTCAGTAACATTTTTTCTTAATTCTTGACAAGTCAAACTGTGTCAAAGATTTAGGGCTCCACATCTTCTATCCCATATATCTCCATCTTAGATTTCAGCACATTTGCGGCCGTTGGGCACATCCGCCGTCGCCACACACATTCACCCTCGCTGCCCCCATCGTGAATCCTGCCCTTCTCATCTTCTTCTCTTTCTATTGTGCACGATTGGGGTTGATAGTGACGAACCCATCGACTTTGGATACGACGACGCAGGGGCAACGACGATCAACAATGGCTACGGACGTCAAAGTCTTTGTGAGGTGCGATAGCTCTGTTTTCAGCTTGTGGGGTGGGGTGCGGGAGGTGGAGCACTAGCTGTGCAGCGCCGGGGAAGGGGATGGGAGGTTGGGAGTGGGGAGGGGGGATATGGCACTAGCTATGCAATTCTAGAGAAAGGGGTTGGGACTGGTGAGTCACTGTGGGACAGTCATGGGACACGACAGTCACTGCGGAAATGGTCATTGTGGTGACAATCGCTAGTCACTGGAATTGAGCACAGGGTTTCACTGAATGGAGACGGCGGTTGTCACTGAACATTGTCGTCACTAAGCAATGGATGAGTCACTGGGCGTCGACAAACATAGTCACCGGACAAGGCTGGAGTCAATAGAGATGTGTGCAGCAGATCTGTGCTGACTCTGATGGCAGAGACACTGTCGGAGGCTGCAACGGTACTGCCAGCGGTGCGGTGGTGGTGATACTTCCGACTGTGATGGTTGTGGTGGTGGTTGAGAACAATCAATAAATATAAATAAGGGAATTTAATAAATATAATACAAAAATAATAAAAAATTTAATAATCCGTATTTAATAAGGGAAAGGAAAAGTATGTTCAGTCATATTTTTGGAAACTGAAAACATAGTCATATATTTGTCTTTCTTATTTAATTTAGTAATATTAGTAAAAAAAAGGCCTTTTTGGACATATAACTAGGCAATTTTAATTTAAAAAAAACAGTAATTTTAAAATATTGGAATTTGACCAGTAACCAATTTATGGGAAGGTGTTGTCTAGATTGAGGAATATAGTTTAATAGTTTGATTCTTCATTTTTTTTTCGATCGGAGAGGATTATTAATTTATTGTAGTCAAAGGTGATGGAATGTGGTAATGCTATACACCAAGTATAGAATACAAAGATTTAAAAATTAAAATAAAGTAGTCTAAGTCGAGCTAATCATAGCCCACAATTACTAAAAATACGCACTTGTGTATTATTTTCCATTGATTTAGATTATTATCCAAGTTTAATGAATTTGATTCTCAATGTAGACAACACCTTCCCATTAATTTGTTCTAGTGACTTAAGTTTTTTCTCTTGAAGCTAATTCCAAGTATAGGCTGTATAGATTGAGAACTTTATTTGATCCGCCTTAGAATTACCTATATATATGTCATTTTAAGTGGTAAGAAAGGAATAAAGGTAAAAATACCATTATATCAAATCATTTTTTATATTCTTATTCACTTCGTTTGTTATATCTGAGCACATTCAAATTCTAATCAGGAAAGAATTAAATGTCAGATTTATCAAAGTAATTAAAATAATAATAGCGTATGGTTTGTTCTATTTCCTCATTTATCATAGCACATCATATCTTTCATACAAATCAGAGTAGAATTAAAATTAAGTTCCTCAAATTAATACTCCATCCGGTCCTTAATGAAGTTTGCACTTTGACTTCACACATATTAAGGAAATAAATTTGACTTTACTATAGAGTACACTGTTTGACACTGTTTGACACTGTTTGACACTGTTTGACACTGTTTGCTGTAGATTTGTTTGCCAAATAAGGCAAATAAAGAAGTGTAAAGTTTAATATGGGACGGTCCCAAAAGGAAAATGTAAAGTTAATTAAGGACCGGAGGGAGTATCCATGTAAATAAGTTAACAGAGATCATACTGTCCAAATAAGTTACTTTGAAAATTCATGACTAGCAAAAACGCTAAAAATATATAAATCCCACAACTTATCTTATAGGTTCAAGTAAATCAATATTATGTTATTAATATTTTTCATATGTAATATATAGAGTAGTTATTTATATATGAAGTATGGAGTATCACACACACACACAAATTGAGTTCTGTTCGATTCAAGTAGTGAATACAATGATGTTCATTCATGTATAAAAATATAAATCAAAATATAAAGCTCTCAGTTGTTCCTTGTATTAGGTTAGTCTTTTATGATGGAGTTTCAAGTCTTAATATGACATCAAAACAAATTAAGCTGCAACGAGCAATTATATCCTGGTAAGTGTGAACAACGAGTACATGGACTACAAGATTGGTTTGCTCTAATGAGTCAGCATCTCGCGGGGCGTATTAAGTTGTCTCATACCGGCTGTGTATAAAAATACAATTCGACATACAAAGCTTGATGTTCTTATGCTATGAGGTTGACATTTTATGATGAAACTTCAAGACTTAATAGATACTTGCATATATTATAAAACTGCTCAATTTTTTTGGAAGAACTTGACTTATAATAAATTAACAGAATGTAAACAAGATACAAAATGACAAAAGATATTCTATCCGTCGTCTGCCATCGAATCAGATTTAGAATCTATTATCTACATAGAAGCAATCGGATTCGATGATCCTGTAATGGACTTAACTGAGACAATGACAAGCAAATCAAATTTCTCATCACCTATCTTAAAACCTATTCAATTCGGAAAATATATTTGTATTTATATCCATATTCTACTTGTTTGAATTGGAATTCTCATTTTTGAATTTGAATTATTAATCCGATTAAAATTATTCTATTTGTTCATATATAACAAGCAATAATTATGCTTGTGTCTATTAATTAATTTAATTATTACATCACATGTCTCTAAGACTTTATTACACGCAAAGAATTAAAAGAAATGAAAAGTGAAATTTATCTAATGCTCCATAGTTTTAAATGTTTCGTAGAAGTGACGTACTTGCTTCTTAGAGAAAAGAACACATTAACGTACAGTTTAATGAATATGATTTTTGAGTTAACGTAGTTAAAAAGATACGGAGTCTTAATGATGATGGAATTTGGAGTATGTTTGAGGCAATTAGATTGAAAAGATCTTCTTTAAAGGGATTTGTCCATAAATAATACTCCCTTCGGTTCTCAAACAACTTCTCACTTTTCTTTTCGGGAAGTCCCAAAATTAACTTCAAACTTCTTCTTATTTCCTTATTTGGCAAATTATCTACACCAAAACAGTACAAAACAATGTCAAACGGTGTCCAAACAGTGTCAAACAGTGCACTCCACACTCCACAGTAAAGTCAAATTTATTTTCTTAATCTGTGTGAAGTCAAACTGTGAAGCTCTTTGAGAACCGGAGGGAGTATAAAAACAATGCTTTGGACAAATACATGATCACTTTTTAAAAAAATAAAAAAATGAGACTAAACTACTACCATTGGCAATGACCAATTCCATCAATGACTAACACGGTCAGTGACCAACCCGACCAGTGATCAATCTGACCAATGACCAATCTGATCAGTGATCAACCCGATCAATGACTGTGATCAATCGAACAATGATCAACCCGATCAATGACCGTGACCAATTCGAATGTGACCAATCCAACCGTGCCCAATTCGACAGTGACCACTCCAACCTTGACCAATCCGACCGTGACCGACCCGATCAATGAGCAATCCGACCATGACCAACACGGCCATTGAACAACTTGACCAGTGACCTCCACCGGACCGACCACCACAACCCCAATCAGTTCCAACCACCACCGCCCTAACTGATTCTGACCACCACCTCCCCTGACCACGGCCCATACTACAGCCACCGCCCTTACCATGTCCTCCTCAGCCCCCTCCCCTGCCACAGCCCCTCCTCATCCCCTTGCCCCCATCCCCAACACCTTTCGCAACACCCTTTCAACGGCCAGACAGATCTTCAGCGGACCGTCCAAATTTACCCAACCCTAGCCAGATCTGCCCAACCGCCGGACCACCACCCTGCAACACTAACCGTCCAAATTTAGCCCACCGTTGCTCGCCGATCTAGCTGACGCTCGAAAAGAAATAGAAGGAAAAGAGACAAGTTGAACATAGTTGACGACTTGACGTTCTCCGACGTCCAAATTTAGCCCACCGTCACCATCACAGTCGCTCCTTGCCATAACTTCTCTCCGCTCGCCTAGCAGCTCGCAATCGCCGATGGCCTCGCAACTCACAATTGCCGATGGCCTCGCAGCTCGCCTTGCAGCTCAAATCAATCCTTAGTGCCATAGCTCTGAGAAATGGGAAGTGCGATAGATGGGGATGGGAGACGATTCGTAGAAGACGGCCATAGATAGGTCTTATTTTTGTCCAAAGTAGTATAGTACAGTGCATACGCACGGGAAAGAAGAGTAGATGCATATATTTTTACCCATTATCTAATTAAATATTAAAATAAAAATAACTTTAATTTTAGGATTCTACATTTTTGAAAAATAAAAGTACAATAACTTAATACCATAAAATATAAGTTCATACAATAAATATTCAATGATCAGTATATTAGTAAAAATTAATTAAACACCATTCATTACAATTTTCTACTTATTAATTTTCATTATTAAATTAACTAGTATTCTACCCGTGTGATGCACGGGAAAAATTTATTAATATGAACAATATATTTATTCATATAAGAACACATATTTTGTCATATCATGATATATGTGGATGATTTTTTTTTTTTGCTTACAAAAAATATACTCTATATGTGTCATCGATGTCTACAATTTACACTTTCTAATATACAACAGTCATAACTGCATGGTTGATAACCGTTATTATTTGGATTAATTATCAAAATAGGACTAAAAGTCACTCACTTTGCACAAATAGGACAAAAAATTAAACTATGTTTTCATAAGACTAATTATGTGTGTCTTGGACAAATATACCCTTCTAGCTATTGAAATGTTTTAATTCATAATAAAATAATAAAAAATAATAATTTGTATAAAATACCAAAAACTAATAAAAATATTTCGATAATAATTAATTTATTTATTTATTTTCAAAAAATATAAAAATAAAAAAAAATAAAAAACTCAAAAAAATAAAATAAAATTCACCGCCGCCTCTGCCGCCTCTGCACCACCATCTCCAGTCACCAGGGAAAAAAATGCCAAGTTTTTTACGAATGCCATATTTATGGCAGAAAACAATGAAAATGATGGCATTCTCAAAGAGAAATATGTCATGTTTTTGGTATTTTCAGAAAAAATAGTAGTTTTTAGGGAAAATGACATTTTTTCACCAGCTGGAGATGGTGGTGCAGGGAGGTAGTACAGGCGGTGGGAAAGACATCCATGTTTTTTTTTATATTATTTTTATGGAGTTTTACTATTTTTTTAATAATTTTTTTAAAAAAATAATTTTTTTAAAATTTTTATTTTATAAATTTTTTAATTATTTTTTTACGAATTTTTGAATTTTTTTCGAATTTATTATGAATTAAACATTTAATTAACTAATATTTAAAGGAAGGGTAAGAATGGAATCAAAAAATAGGTATGTTTCCAATAGGACTAATATGGTCCTATTTTGAAAAGAAAAACATAGTAAGTCCTATTTTGAGTTTTTTTCCATAGTTTTAGTCCTATTTGGAGTAATTTCTATTATTATTTAAACTTGAGATTTTTAGTATTTTGACAGTGGCGTATAACTATTCATATTATAAAATTGAATTTTTGAATAACATGGATACCTTATTTTAGGTCTTAATGACAACTTAGATGTCAATGGATTTTAATGTAATTTAATACTTATACGTAAATAATCACTATAAGATAATTAAGAGTTTTTTCGAAATAATTTTAAAGAAAAATTTATTTACCAAATTAGGATGGAGTTAAAAGTAGTTCTCAAGATATTGCTGAAATGAACCTTAGTTAATAAATTAAAACCCCTAACTCACTTTTCAACTTTCTCTTAATTGCCAAATTAGGGAGCGAATGTTATGAAGCTAGCAACCTAAAGCTAACAAATCAAATCACTTAGAGCTCGTTTGGTGATCCAGTTTTTCGATTGATCAGCCTCATCAGTTGACTTTTTCATCTAGCACATAACTTTTGTTTTTGTGCGTAAAGTTACGTTGTGTAATGTCAACATAAATAAGGTTGAAGTTACTTTTATGACTGGATTGACTGAAGCTGTTGTAGAGAGCCATTTTATCTATTTTTCAGTTTTTTTCTTCTTTATTTTATGAATAAAATATATTTTAATTATAATTTTTCCACAATTCAGCAGAATCAACTAATCAAACCACTTCATCCAGAACTTCAAATATTTCGGTAGAATCAGCCGATTCAACCAATTTTGGTGTTACCAAACGTGCTCTTAATTTGACCTAAATTCAAAAACTCTCTTTTTAAAAAAATGCAATAATTATTTTATTTGTAATATGATTTTTACAAAAATATATCAAAATTCATAACTTGCAATTAACTTTCATATGACACCAATATTGCATCTATAAGAATAAAAGTAAATCTAAAGATATGGTTGGTGGAGGCTTTTATGTTCAAAATTTTTCTTAACTAGATCGAAGTTCTAAAATTAAGAGTCTGTTTGGTAACAATGAAATTGGTTGATTATGTTGAAATTGATGAAGTTCTGAGTGAATTGACTGAATTTGCTTAATAATGAAGTAGCCATATTTAAAATATATATTATTAATAAAAATAAAGAAAAAAACATATTAGAAATAGCTAAAATGTTCAGCTATAGTAACTTTAGTCAAAAAAAGTATCTCAAAGCCCACTTATTTTGATTATCATACAATTCATCGCGCGAAAAAAGTTACGCGTTTGGTGAAAAGAATGACTTATAAAACTAATAAGTCAAATATTGGGGTCACCAAATGGGCTCTAAAATTTCATGATTGTATAACGCAATTTCATTCTGCAATAAGGGAACATTTTATTTATTGATTGAAAGTGTCAATAGAGAATGCTTGTGACAGTTATATATTCTGCTGATTCGATTTGAATTATTTTTAAATAAAATATTTTAGAACTTAATGTCCCCTAATTAACACTTTTAGGCAATAAAAAATGTTCCCTAATTGCATCATTAAACCGCACTATGCAATCATGAGATCTTAATTTTAAAACTTGAGTGCACTTAAAAAGTTATGAGTCTAAAACCCTCCACCTATGTGGCCTTCATATTTATTTCTATTTTTATATATGCAATATTTGTGTCATGTGAAAAATGTTATGAATTTTAATTTTCTTTTTGTGAAAACTGAATTGTAAATTAAAAATTTATAGCGGTTTAAAAAGAGAGAGATTTTTTGAATTTGGGACTCATTGAGTGATTTGAGATTGTTTGTCGCATTCCAGTTAAAAGTTTGCATTATAACATAGCTTGGCGTAATAATAGTTAAATAATCCTTCATCCGAGTTTAAGATTCTCACGTGTCATTTTATAGACGTTTCAACTAGATGTTCTCATTTTTATTCTAAGAAATAATTAACACTTTTAAATGATAACATAATCACTAAGGAGGCGTTTACTTCGCTGCTAAAGGCACAGTTAGGTTAGTAAGACATGTGAAGTAACACACAAGTTGCTCAAAACGCTGCTTACTAACCGAAAGAGATGCTTAAAGTGCCGCTTACTAAGCATACCACCCCCATGTATTAATTAAGCAGCACTTTAAGCTTTTTCAGTTTCCGAATTTACCTTTACCTTTACCCCTTGCCCTTACCCTATTGCTACCCAACTACCCCGCCCTACCCTACGTTACCCCGACCCCACCCTGACCCCCACCCTTGACCGACCATACCCCCACCCCCACCTACCTCGACCCCGACACCACCTGCCCTACCACACCCCCCTCACCCCTTACCCTACCCCTGTACCCCACCACCTTCCCCTACCTTGACTCGACCCCGACCCCACCCCTTTACCCCTACCCCCACCCCCACCCCCACCCTTGACCTGACCACTATCCCGCCCTACCCTACCTTACCCGACCCCACCCCACCGCTTTCCCTACCCCTGTACCCCCTACCACCTTCCCCTACCTTGACCCGACCCCACCCCTACCCCTTTACCCCCTACCCCCACCTCACCCTTGACCCGACCATACCCCACCCCCACCTTACCCCTACCCTTACGAGTTGGGGGGTTGGTATGGGTGGGAGTAAGGGTGGAGGGTAAGGTCATGGTAAGGGTAGGGGGTAGGGATGGGGGTCGAGGGTGTGGAATTGGGGGTAGAGTGAGGGGTGGAGGTACAGGGCGGATTAGGGGTTAGGGGTGTGGGTAAGCGACTAAGCGTACGAGGTGACCACACATATTATATACTTGTGTTCATGAATGTTTGTGTGTGTATATATCTATAGGGTTATTTTGGACATTTTAATGTTAAATAGTGTTTTAAATCCTTTGAAGTAAACATGAGCTTACAACACCGTTTATTTTATACGCCGCTTATTAACACGAGTCTTAATAAGCACCGTTTACTAACCTGTGAAGTAAACATGTCCTAAATATTAAAAATAATACGGAGTGCATCTATAACATTAAAATTATCACCAATGACATCATTATATGTTATACTCATATAACATTACAATTATCATCCCTTTATTGTCCTTGCATTTGAGTATGTCCGTACATCATTATTTGAAGTAAACATATTGTAGAGAAAGAAGACGTTAAATAGTAATTATTTTTAATCCAGATAAAATAAAAGATAAATTATAAAATTTTGAAGGCAACATAATAATATTATATTCAGGTAGTATATTTACCATAAGTGTGGAGTATATTGAATAGCATCATATCATTCATATATAAATGGCAATATGAAAACAATTATGATTAAGGTCATCACGAGCAATAAAATGACATGTGGCAATATGATTTCCTCAATGTAACTCTCTGTTGTATAATATAAAAATATATATAGCACAATAGTATTCATATATAAATGGGAATATGAAAACAATTATTATTATTATTAAGGTCATTTATTATATTCAATAAATGAATGATCGAATACTATAATGACATGTGGCCATGAATGAGCAATAAAATGACACGTGGCAATATGATTTTCTCAATGTAACTCTCAATTGTATAATATATAGATATAGATTTTTAAAATAAATACTATTCTAAAAAAGTCAATACATTAAATATTAAAATTAATGAATAAGATGTATTAGTTATATAAGAACTTGCTACTCATTAGTTAAATTAGTGCTAGCATATGAGAGGAAAATTATCCTACCCAATTCCTAATCAGCTTATCTGATACAAAAAGGAACTACAAAAGAAAAACATAGTAAGTCCTATTTTGAGTTTTT